TTGGAAAATCAATATATAAAGCAATAATGAGAACTGTTATAAACACACTTGTAAAAGTATTGGTCATTTGTACTTGATATATAAAAGCAATATTCACTGTGTATAAAGATTATACAGCTGGATAAGATATCCAATTTCGCCTTAATTTGTCTTTCTACTTGGTAGTTCATCTAATGACGATTTGCAGCAGGAGTTCATGGTAGGATTAACCTTCAACAATTTTCACAGGAGTTCTGCAGAAAAAAGGTAAAGGTTAAACAACCTACAGAAGAAATAGTGAAGATTGTAGTGTTCAAGAGAAGTGGCTTTATGGTTAGAAACCATCACTTACCCAAATGGACTTTGTTTAATCGATAGTAGTTCTACATCCAACTGCACATTCAAAATGAAAGATAAATGTAAAGATGAAGTGTAGGAGACATCAATGGAAAGGTAGAAGGAATGTAATAGCAAATAAACCACCATTACGTAGCCTGATGGTAAAAGAGCAAAAGGGTCTAGAAAAACCATCATTAAGTGGTCTGCTGGTAAAAGAGCAAAGGGGTCCAACATAGGTTTCTAAGTTCGAGTCCCTCAGGCACTAATAGGGATGACTATTGAGAGGATTTACCTGATTGTTCAGTTCAGGGCCTAGAATGATTAGTTGAGATACACCCCTAGGCACTAATAGGGATGACCATTGAGAGGATTTATTCGGCTGTTCACTTTAAGGCTTTAAGGGATTAGTTGAAGTGTGCGTAAGCTGGTCTAGACACCCCTAATAACCAAAAAAAAAAATAATTGTAACAACAGACTAACAAATAACTACTTTCACAACATAAGATTAGAGTCAACAACATTGTATTTTCGAAAGAGGAAAGAAATGGTCAAGAAACTCGAACTATTGAACATGAAGATGGTGTATTCTAGAAAACAAAGTTTATAATACGATTGGTTTATTTCTTATACTTTGAAAGATCTTTTTGGATAATTTTGAAGCCTAATGTGGTTCATTTCAATCATCTTTGTGAGCCTCGAGACGGTGAGTTTGGCACATTATTTCTACTCATATTCCCAATCCTATTCTCCAAATATTGTTTGTTTTGTTATTTGAGAAATATTAGTATATTTTTTTAATTACTTTTGGACCCCTTAAGTTTATTAATTTCAAAATACCCCCCCAAAAAAGGTTAAAAATTAACAAAAAACACCTCCATCCACCCATACTTGCCAGATTCCGATAACCACCGTGGGTGGTTTCCGGAATCTATTACAACGGCCTACGAATTACCAAAACTGGCCAGTAATTCACAGATCTGGCCGTCAGCGACGACCAAAGAAATGGTTGTAGTTGACGATCAACGACGACTAAATCTTGGCCATCGTTGACCGACAACGACGGCCATATCCACTGGCCGTTATTGACGGCCACATCTGGACTTTCCAACCATCAACGGCTAGATCTGGCCGTAGATTTGGCATTTTCCGACCAGATCCACCATGGATCTGGTCGGAAAAGGCTTTATCGATGCCTTACCTGCCAGATTTGACCGGTCAGCGTCGTAACGCCATTTTTCGGCCAGATTCCGATGGTGGTGGCCAGAATCTAGCACTGTGGGTGGTGGGGGTGTTTTTGTCATTTTACAAAATTTTTATATATTGGGGTGTTTAGTTAAATTAGCAAACCTAGGGGGTTTTTTCGTAAATTTTTAAATTTTACCTCGTAATATTCTCTTATTCAACTACCCAATATTATTCCCAAAATCCTATCTAAAATAATAAAACAAACGGACCCAATATTTTCCAAACTATAATTAAATTGAATTTGCTACCAGCATCCTAAAAACTTGATATCAGTTCTACAACTAACAGGAACAATTGGTTGAAACAAAATTAACCATAAACCATTGATGTTACAGAATCGGTCCATCCCAAATTTAATAGTGAATATTTATAATGAGTGATGCTACACTTACAAAAACTCTATACAAAGTCTTTCATACAAAGTGACGTGTCAAAATATGATTGAATAAATTAATATAAAAATTAACTTAAAAATGCATTAAATGATAGGAATGATTTTTATATTAAGTATCAATCATATTTTGACATGTTACTTTATACAGAATCTTTATAAGTATATTATTATTCAATCAATGACGGTATTAACAATAGTGGAGGACCACTGGGTGGCCGAGTGGTTTGATAGAGACACTCTGGTGTATTACTCAAGGTCTTGAGTTCGGTCTCTCCGATTGCTAATAGGATAGCCACTAGAATTTTACTCGGTTGGTAATTCCAAGGTCCTAGAGGATTAGTTGTAAGTACGTAAGCTGACCCAGACACCCCCGATCATTAAAAAAAAAAAAAAAAAGATCAAAGTTTGGAATTACTAGATATTAGGCTTACCATTGAGAAGTTAAATTAATAATATAATGAAATAGGGATGAAAGAGAAACGATCATCGTCCCTTAAGTTGTTTTTCAATTTATATCTAGGTTTATTTTAATCCATATTAGAGCATTTCCAAATGACCTTTATATTACTCACAACTATTATTATAAAGAGTTATCCAAGAAATAAGATCCAACAGACTCTTTATTATTTAATATAAAATTAAAGTGAGTTGACTCTCCACATTGATATTCAAATTTCACTCTCTATCCTAATTTAAATAATAAATTACAAGTTTCTATGTATTTTATTATGATTTATCTCTCCTATTAGATTCTTTCTGAAAAAACATATTCTCTCTCCTAAAATTTATATCTATTGGATTTGAATCAAATTTATTCTTTATATTTAAAATCAATAAAGATACGCTTTATTTATACGAAATACTCTTTCATTAGAGATGCTCTTACAATGTAAAATTAGGGTCAACATTCTCCAACCCTTAAGAGTTCATTCTATAAGTTTACACTACTAGCATAAAGAAATAGATCTTGCAGAAGAGGGTTGTGAAAAAATGAATGCCATCTTCAAGTATGATAAATAAAATTTAGAACTTAGTAATAATAGTATGAGTTTCCTCTAAATTTTCCATAAGAAGAGAAGCACATAATTAGGTTACCTCTATTGTTGCATTTGGAGGGATTTCCTGGACTCCTTTACTTCCATAAGCAGCTCAGGAGGAACTATTAGCAGTCGCTGCAAAACTTAGTTGATTAAATTTTGACCAACTAATAGCAGAATAAAAACTTCATTAATTTTATTATCAATATCAAGTAGAAAGCTAAATGTTCATCATACTGACAACGTGTCGGGGTGAGAAGTAATTGATAATAAGCTTATGAAAGTAATCTAAATCATAGTGGGGGAGATAATATACTCCACCTACTTCATCTTTCTCTTAAAGAAAATCAATATAGAAAAATTTTACTTCACTATTGTGAGGGAATTAAATCTTTACATATATTTCTCTGTTATATGATTAAAGTAGAAGAAAAAAATTGGATTTTGAGACAAATAAAACTCTGCTGTGATGCTAATAGATGGTTTTTAAAAGCCTGAAACTGGTCTCCACCTGCCCTCCAACATGCATGCCTTCAACACCGAGATCTAATCCTTTAAGGACATTTCCTCTCTCAGATTGGCCCACATCCAAAACCAAAGGCTGCATCAATACAAGCATACCACCATTGTTAAGAGTAATAGAACAATAAGGAATTAATTTTCTAGCTGTTTCCTATGCAAGAACATATTGGTTTGAATAATTATGCAGAAGAAACTTATTCCCCATAAATAACTCACCTACAATGCCAGTCTTGTAAATGCATACTTTATGTGCATGTCAATGGTGGGGCATCTTAATTATACTTTGGCTATCACAGATTTGTTCAGAATAAGGCGAGATACACAAATGTTTTTCTCTAGTTACCTAATTATCAGTGGAGAGTGAGAAGGGCTCCTTACCGTCCCACCACCGACACAAGTCCTTGTCTACTAGTCATAAAAGTGAATATTCTTCCATTTGGCACAAGTGAACCTGCAACATCAGATAAACATAAAAATAAACACAACTCTGTTACCCATTATCTCACAGAACATTACTGCAGTCTTCATGATTATACTTACAACTATGCTTTGAGTTTGAAATCTTTTTTCTCCTTATTTTTCTTAGCTTTTACAGGGCGTTCAAAACTAGACCATTGATCTAAGAACTGGACATACCACCCCCGCGAAGTATTTCTCTCTCAGATGATATTTAACAGAAGAAGTTCATAAAAACTTTTGTTTTTTGGATTCTAGACTAGAATTGCACAAACTGTCTTAACACTTTAGACCATTAAGTTAAATTTAACTGCATACCCTACTCTCACACAGCGAAAAAAGGAAAACAAGGATCATTTGAAGTATATTATTATTGAAAATAATGTGAATCTGAGATTCTCATATCAGAAAGTTTTATTCCACGTGATCCTCATATCAAGAATTTCCTCTATTACACTGGTCCTTAGCAATATCAATAATGATTATAAGAATTTCCTCTATAGTATTCTTTTCAGAGGTCTAGGGTAACCTGAGTAAAACATTACAGCTTTTATCAGTCATAACATTAATTGACATGAGTATTGATATTCCTACTTCCTACGGGTCTTGTTGAAAGCTGTAATGTCTTAAAAATTGAATATAACTGAGTCCAACCGTACTGCAACCCGGATCCCTTCTTCGCTTTCTGGTCCACCTCCAACCTTCATTCATAGTACCTGAGGATGTTACCATCGCAACTCTAGTAAAAACTTGTATCTAGGAAAAGATATCCTCAAAAGGCAAACATGTTTTCTAGAAATGAAACCAACAAAGGAATTAGCTGGAAAATTTATCATTCAGCAGAACATAAACTATACACACTCATCATCGCAATACAATTCTGACAATCTATACTTGAAACTAAATAAAATACTGACTTCAACACCATTGGAAGCGTTTTGTATTCGCTCTCGGATTTTGGCTCCTCTAAGCTGAATCAACAACAAAACAATAGCAGATTAAACGACTGTAAAAATAGTTACATTTAGCACCACATAAATCACTTCAAACGGAAACTTACAGCTCTTCTGCTTGGTGCTAACTGCCTCAGCAATGTCACAGACAAAAATTCCAGCAGCTGCTTTTAATCAAAAGTAAATAAGACATCACACATGTAATTGATTTGAGTTATTAATCACAATCGTTTGATAAATATTGTAATTGAAGGTAGATAAAATATTATAGAGATATGAAGAGAAAAAGAAACCAGCACTGAGGAGGGAACCATGAGTGGCCTCCTGGCCTCACGTTGTGAAGAAAGTGTTACTGGTTTTTCAGTTTCATTTGATGAAGACAATGAGCAGTGACTAGGCAGAACCACACTTGAGTTTGTTCTGATGGTCTCTTCCCGAGATTAACAAGTTCTTATAATTAGCATTGTTAAAAAAACTCAAAAACCTTAAATTGCATGCACGAGAGAATAAAGAGAGAGAGTACTTGAGATGGGAATGGAAATAAGAGGGTTATAAGGAGAGTAGATGGGTGTGTTGATAGCAGGGAAGAAGAGAGTTCCATTGATTTGATTAGTTATGAGTTGAGGGAATAATTTCAGCTGGGTTTGTGTTTTGGTTGTCATAAAGAGAAGATAACATGTTCAATGTCATCCACAATTAAGCTCTCCAAATCACAAAACATTATGCCATAGAGATGTCATTCAAGATTATTCATATTAATTTCCCTGAAATAAATTCTCCAGATTTTGCTAAATTAATAACTTAAATTCATGTTTCTGTTTCCTATCAAAACTGGTTTAATTTTCTTCACTTCCTCCTTTGAAGAAATTTTGGTCTTTTTGAACAGGCATGACCATTTGCCACATTTAAAAAAGGCTCACGATGCCCTTCCCATGATCTCCACATTCTCCACATCTTCAAATTTAATTCATAATTTCTTCTTTTAATCTTGTTTTTGCTGTTGTTGAGAATGATTACTCATTAAAATTGCCATGACCTGTATTAGTCCATTTTAAAAGGAAGTTCATTTTTTCTTATTTGAATTGTATATTTAGAATGTAAATTTTTTTTTTTTTTAAATGTTTATAAGCTTTACATAGGAAATTAAACGTAATTGTATTCAATATACTATTCTTCTTAATACTTACCCAAATTTTATATCTTAAATACTTATTCTAATATTATATCTCAAATGATGTGCTATCATATGTGGTTAAAATGATGATATATTAATGACATGATAATGTCATATGATGATCCTCATTTAAAATCGTAAAATTGGATAAGTAGTATAGTCATTGTATTACTTTAGAATTTGGATCACTGTCACATACCATATTTTACTAACTCATTCCATAAAAAATTTTGACAACAATTCAATTTATATATATATATATATTATATATATATATATATATATAATATATATATATATATATTTTTTATTCTCGTTTTGTCATTGCATCAATTGGATTCCACCAAGAAGGTCCATGTTAGCTAGAATATACGCTCTCATTTCCTTCTCTTTAAATGTAAGAGTGATGAAAAGAGAGTTTACTAATACAATGCAGATAGTTCAACCATTTGTTATGCAAATGCTAAGGAGGAAGAAAGGAAGCCGAAGTAAGATAAATAAGGGAAGTTATAGAATTATTCTCTAACCAAAGAAACCTCCGACCCTTTGAATAAGCTATCTCTGCAAGGCATATTTGAACAATAAATTTTTGAGAAAATTTAGCTGCGCAGCCATCTCAAGTTTCCATTTAACAAAATGGCCTTGAAAATTATTTTCATTTTTTTTTTTAATTTAGAGAAGTTGACGTGGCATAGTTAGGATTCATTAAACATGTAAAATGGGTTAAAATAAAAATATTAAAACATATGTGGGCCGAATCATAAATAATGAAAGTTTTTAAAATTTGAAATTTACAAAACAAGCCCCATCTATTCATCTCGCTTAATTGAAATTCATTAGGGCAAAAAGTGATTTCTTGAACCAAAGGGAGACACTGCGATTTCTGATTGAACCTGCAAATTTTCACACCATATTCAATCCTAAAATCAATTTCTTGAACCCTAAATGGAATACAGTCGCGATTTCCAGTACACTCACGATTTTTGATCAATTTCTTGAACCCTAAACGGAATCTGTGTGATTTCTGATGATACAGTCCACATTTCCGATCGAAACTATAAATTTTGACACCAAATTCAATCCAAAACCATGGCTGACACTCACAATGAGGAGTAAAACCCAACGCCACTTCGAATCCTAGATTCCGGTGGCACAAGCAGTTTAATGGTTGCTCCGGTTGATCATCCGATCAGTGAAAGTGGTCCACAAGCAGAGGAGACGACGGCAACACAACAACAGAGTTCAGAATCGCAAAACGGTTCTGAAGAGGAGGAGTCTTCCAAGGATTTAGGCAACGAGGAGGAGGTCGGTGAGAATGCAGGCGATGAGGAGGCCGGCGAAGAAAGGGTACATATTTGTTTAGGGTTTAGGGCTCTGTACTGTCACTTAAGCGATCATTTATATCGCTTAAGCGATTAATCTCTTTTACTCATGGTCGCTTAAGCGGTTGATTCAGTTTACTCTTGGTCGCTTAAGCGATCTTTTGTATCGCTCAAGAGATTCTTTCAGTTTACTCGTAGTCGCTTTAGTGATCCGAAATCGCTTAAGCAACCACAGAGGTAATTTTTTGTTGCTAATATTTTGTTTATTAGTTGTTTTGGTTTATTTTTGTTGCTGACATTTTGTTTATATCGATTGTACAGATTGTGCGGACCGTAAACTATAGAGACTATGAGTTGGAGTTTGTAAGCAATAAAGTACCCTACTTCCCTGCAAGGGGGACGGTCAGGTCGAGTTGGGATGTTTTTGACAGATTTAAAGGAGATTTTAGCTAGAATGAGGCATGGTGCAAGAGATTTCAAAGACACTTGTCTCGGTCGGTTTTTAAGAATCGGAACAAATTGGAAAAAGGCCTTTTGGGGGCAAGGAGTGGATTACATGTTGCTGCATTCAGTAAAATGCAATAAAAATAAAGAAATTTGGTTTGTGGTGGACGGAAAGCCACTACGTTTTGGCATGATGGAATATGCCTTGGTGACGGGCTTAGGATGTGGGAAATTGCTAGATAAGCCAGAGGCAGAAGCAATAAGGAAGAGTTTGGGAGCCATAAGGTTTCGTAAGAAGGTTTTGCAGGGGGCAAAGTCTATTACATGACACGTTTTAAATGAGAGGCTAGAAACAGTTCAGTTTAATGATGGAGAGAAGATAAATGTGTGTTTGGTATTGTTTTTACATTCGATCTTATTGATTGGTGACTCAACAAAAGCTATTGAGAATGATTGGTTGTTGTTTGCAAGCAACTTGGAGTTCTTTAATTCTTATCCATGGGGATGGATATCATTTGAGTGAACCATCAAGAGCCTGAAAAAACCAGACATGACGTTAAAGCAGTCTCAATGGGTCGGGAAGGATAACCTTAAACCAAGCACGTACAATTTGTTTGGTTTCCCATGGGCAATGCAAGTAAATATTAATAGCTTTTTGTTATATTTTTTGTAATATATGTGTTTGAATTATGATATGGACTATTTTTTTACAATGTAGGCTTGGATGTATGAGGCCATCCTTGTCTTCGCTAAGACCGGGGGGGGGGGGGGGGGGGGGGAGGAGCATAGTTTGGATGTGCAACAGTAATTTCCTAGGATGTTGCGGTGGCATGTCGAGAGGTGTACCCATTGGGACTAGACCAAATAGACATTGAGATTGAAGCGGCTGGGGTAAGATTAAAGGATTAAGCTTTTGAATATGCAGTTGCTTTAAAATGTCACTTCAATCTGATTGATTTTGTTTCTTATTGCAGGGAGTCGTCCGTCCCTTTCTCACCGCTATTGGGGATGAAGCAGAAGAGGACTATGTCACGTCTTTCAAAGCATTGGAGGATGAAAGGGATGAACGGATAGACCGCCTGATGCGGGACCTAAAAGGGGTCACGCATGTGACGGCAGTTGCAAAACCACTGCTTGACAACGTGGTTGATGCCGAGGATGATGAAGCTCCAATCGAACGCTTTGCCAAGACATCGACATCAGGAGAATGAGGTGGTTGACCTCATAAACGGCCTGTTTGAGAGTTTTACAACAACCGTTTATGACAGGTTTGACAAGATGGAATAGCGCACGAAAAGGGTGGAGGAGAAAGTGGATAAGCTGGCAGAAAAAGTCGGTACAGTGGAGGAGGAAGTTGGTGGAGAATTAAAGGCGGTTGAAGTGCAAACTTGGCTGAAAAGAGAGAGCTGAAAGAGCAAGTTTGTCAAATTGCCTTATATGGTAATGACACAGGTAAAGAAAAGGAAAATTAAGAAACAAATGGAGGAAGAGCCGGAGGTTAAGGAGGTTGGTGGGGGAAGTGGGGCAGTGATAATGAAGGAGGGCGAGGTGGGAGGCGAAGGAAGCGGGGATGTAAAAATGGAGGAAGGGGGAGGAAGTGGGCAAGCAAAAATGGACTCAAATGTCGATTTGTATAGGCCAATAGAGGAAAAGAAAAAACTCTTCTATGCCTATTACAATGAATCAGGAAGTAATGCCCATATAAAGTGTGAGACAGGGGATTATCCCCGAGAATGGTTTGAAAAGTTGTTGACGATAGACACGTGGCTTGAGGACTCGGTGAGTTATTTTCACTTAATTTTCCTTATTTTTGCCTATGTTTTCCATACTTATGTTGTTGTTTTTATTTGATGCAGCACATCGATGAGATATTGACACTGATGAGGGTACAACAGACTAGTGATGGTGATCTATTGTATCCCGACTGTGTCATCACCGATGTGGTGTTTGGCCAAACGCTTGTTTTGATATATCGCACTTTAATTAAAAATGTCGTTGGTAGAGGTGTAGCAAAAGGAGTGGAGCGAAAATGATTGGCCCCAGAACAGTTGGACTGCATCCCTGATGATTTTCAGTTTGATGACAGGATTATGCAGTATGTACGGGGGGAAAGGCCCAAATATGGCCACGGTTAGGCCTTTGTTAAAAGAGTCTACTACATAATCCTCGTCAGAGAGATGCATTGGATAGCAGTCATCACGCATCTAGAGGAGGGGTGTAATGACTGCTTTATACTATAGAAATATATCAAGTAGAATATATTTATATTAGCAACAATAAATGGGCCCAAAATTTTCTTTTATCACATATAAACATTATTTATACAAAACAGAGTATCATTTACAAAATGGTGTTAAAACAGTGGACAGTGTAACTATCACTCTTCGCTTCCCGATGCCCATCCAACCGCGTTCTCACCTAGATCCTGCAACCATAAAGAAAAACAACGGGGTGAGCACGCAATAATGCTCAGTAAGTAAATCCTCTA